TCCAGGTTTAAAAATTTTTTTTTTTTTTTTTTTTTTTTGTACCAGGGATCAAACTTAGGACCTTGTGCTTGTGAGGCAGGTACAGTGTGCCTGAGCCAAATCCCCAGCCCTAAACAGTCTTATTCATATAGCAAGAACTTTCTTTTGATTTTGTGTTTTTATGATTTTCCCTGATAATAAAACTATTATTTTTCTCATCAAAAAAATACTTTTCCTACTATAGTAGAAAGAATAAGTGAGACCGAATTATAACCAAACCTTCATTTTGCTGTTTAACTGGAGAAACTTTGGACAATTGCCCAACCTCTTGAGCTTCCTCATCTGTAAAATGGGTGCACTGATATACCTATACCTAGGTGTGTTGTGAGGGTTAAAAGAGATCATGCATGGCAAAATGTTTCACAGTGCTTGGCAGATACCAATGCTCAGAAAATGGCAACTCCCAATTTACCATCCTCTGATATGTGATAGACTCTGAGAGGTTGACAGTAAGCTTGAGAGAAACGCCTCCCACTTAGACAGTGGAACTGTCCCTTGGAAGGCTCACTGCATTAGTACAGTTGGAAACAGGGTGATTTCGTGCTGTGAGTTACATAGAGCTTTTAGCTTTTTACTCATCTACTTTCTAATTGTCTCTATCCTCATAACAGCCCTACAAAGTGAGACAAATGTTTTAATCTGGCTCTTCATCTATAAGGAAACAATAATAAATCTCTTCATTGTACTCGACACAGATTTCTTGAGCAACTATTGTATACCTGATACTTCTAGGTAGCCAAGTAGAACACACAGAACAAAAGTCTCTGCCCTCATGGATCATCTAATCTGATAATGGCAGAGAGGTGGAAGGATAAACCAGTAGACCCTGGTTTCTTAGTAGATATCAGTAGAGAGAACAGCAAGCATAAAGGTTCTGAGGTGGAAACATGCGCAGCAGTTTAAGAACCTCAAAGAGGCAAGTGTGGCTGGGTGAAGGAGGCAGAGAGGGGAGAAGGCAGTGATAAGGTCTGAGCCATACGTTTGAAAAAAGGGAAATCAGATCAGTTTGGGTCTACAGACCACTGTCAGGGTTTACATTGCCCATTCCTCATAATGGCAAGTGGGCTTTCCAGGGGAAAAATGTATCATCTCTGTGTCTTGTTCTAGTCTGATTCAGGAACTTTGAGTATACCTGGCAAGACCCTTTGCCCCTACCCGTGAAGGACACCTGCTTCAGAGCAGGAAGGTGCAAGATGAACTTACACCACAAATGGTTGACCTCTCCTCAGCACTGCCTGACCAGGATCTCCATGGGCCTAGGAAACTGTCTTGAGGGCTGTAGGCATTGATGGGCTCCTGGGAGGAATGGAAACAGCTGGAAATTTGTCCTAGGAGTGGGAGAGTTTTCTTCCATCAAATTCAATGATTTCAGCCATTCTTCTTCATCACCTGCCAGTCACGCAAAGCAACCTGGGGCCTTCTCCCCAAATCTGGCAGGATAAGCCACGCAGAGAGATCAGTGTGCCACAGATTGGGGAAAAACAGAGTTGATGGGTATGTACATCTTCCTGTCTGGACATTCTCAAGCTAAATAAAAAAGACACTTGAATCCATGTGCGGTGGCACAAACTTGAAATCCCAGCCACTTGCGAGAGTGAAGCAGGAGGATCCGAAGTTACAGGCCAGCCGGGGTAACATAGTGGGATCCTGTCCAAATGAAAAAAGACCCTTGATCCTGGGGATGGGGATGTAGCTCAGTAGTAGAGCATGTGCTTAGCATGAGCAAGGCCTTAGGCTCTTTTCCCAGCACCACACACACACACAAAAAAACACTTGGTCCATTCACATCCCCTTTGCTAACATGAACATACTCAAGTTGGTGGTGAAGAACTCCTCTTTTGGAGAAGCATCTCCCTCTTTGGGCCATAGGGCCCACTGTATACATCAGCATAGCAAATTGCTTAACTGGAAATATTCCTTTTTCCTAGGGAAGTCTAAGGGCAAGGTGACACCAACACAGGGCAACGGTTACAATTTTCCCCTTCAAAGATTATTCCACCTTGATTTTGGAACCTAGATGGAGAGAATGTTTATTTATTCAAGTCACCTTTGATATCCCCTAGGTTTTGAACCTCAAACTTTTTTTTTTGGTAGTACACCAGGGTCTCACACACGTCAGGCAAGTGCTCTACCACTAGGCTACATCCCCAGCACTTTTTAAATTTTATTTCTAAAACAGAGTCTCACTAAGTTCCCCAGGCTAGTCTCCGACTCGGGATCCTCCTACCTCAGCCTCCCAAGAAGCTAGGATTACAGCTGTGTACCACCATACCTGGCTACCTCAAACTTTTGGCCAAACAACCTTGTCATTGTTCCTTATTCTCATGTGCCAAACTGGAGTCGTCAGCTAACTTACCGAAATGAGCTCCTGAATTTGTCTCCGGCCTCTCTCTGCTGTGAATTCACCATGAGTGACCCACTGGATTTTTCTGGTGCAATGTTTAGTTTCTGCAAACAAGGTGTAAATTTGTTAGTTGCCCGGTAGTGTGGTGTCACATACTGAGACAATTCTTGAGGCAAGCAAACAGGGTCCCTACCTCCCACAGACTGAGCAGCAATATGAGTAACATCTTCAGCTACAGTCAGACCTACTGCAGTCATGGTCTCACTGTTTTCTGTGTCTGTCCCATTCGTGTTGTCTTCCATATCCTTTGTTGTCACCTTGCTTGGAGAATTCTCAATAATCACTACCCTTCGACCTTTGGACTTTTTAGTCTCATCCATTTTCTTTGGCCTGGATAAAGAAACTTGAGAAGTTACTCTGAGTGTGTGCTTATGTGCATGTGAATGTACTCAAGTCCAGACTGTCTCCCAAAGTCAGACACAGGCCACAGAGGCTGGGGGTAGAAGTAAGACCTCAGGCCCTTTGTACTTGTTTCCCTGCTATTTATTAAGTCTTTTCACTTTTGAGAAATTCTTTACTTCCAACACACCTGTAAATTCCTTCCGGGCAACCCTTGTGCAGGAGTGTTGTGTGACAGTGGATGCCTCTCCAAAAGGAGCTATTTCTTGTTTTTCTGTAAGTAACAGGTCCCCATTTGGGGGGGGGTGTTTACTGTGCTGCATTTCATTTAGCTACTACCACAGCTCTATGAGAATGCCACTGGGCACCTTCCATTTGCCCTTCCAGACCCCTCCCTTCCCTGTTCTGGAAAGCTGGCCTGGCTAAACCACACCAAATGGGCTCTCTACTGTTCTCTGGCTTCCAGGAGGTTACATGCAGTAGGGAGATCAGGCTGAGAGGAGAAGTGGGGGTTGCTTTCCCCCCACATGGTCATCTGTGGCTGGCTGGCTGTCAGGAGAAGGCTCCAGCTTCTCTCCACACCCTTGTCTCCCACAACATCTCAGTCTGGTAAGAGCAAGCATTCTTACCCTTCGACCCTCACTGGCTGCACTGTAGCTAGCTCCAGGAGGATGAACTCTGCTTTGTTTCCCTATACTCTGGCCACACCTCTGTACATATTCCCTTTACCAACTATCCTACCAACAGTTTCCTGTGGAGCCCGGAGTCATGAACAGAAGGACTCGTTGCCACGTGAAAATGAGACTAAGCTACACACTCAGATTGTCTAGCGCATAGCCCATGCTCTTCAGTACAATGCTGCTCTCTCCAAGATGCAGCAAAGGTAAATGGGCCCTGTTCTCACATTTTCATTTGGAGTCTGGAAAACACTCACTCTATTTCTGTGAGCCTCTTTCATGAAAGGCAAACTTCACTCCTTTTCTCAACATCATCATTGGGCCCAGGGGTGTGGATACTGCACAAATCAACCCAGTTTCCATAGCCATCAATCCAAGAATAATTAGAACAGCTTTAAACATTCCTCTAATAGTACTGACCACCATTCACTTGGGCCCTGATCTTTTTTAAACTCAGTTTACCTCTGTCTCATTTCCCTCTTGTCACAGCTGAGGGAAATGGAGTCTTCCCAGGCTGCCCATTCTAGAAAAGAAAGAAGCTAAAAAGGGATGGAGGTGAAGGGGAACTGAAGGTACTTAACATTAGCAAACTGGCCATGTCAATTTAGCCACAGCTATTTGCTACGGACGCTACAGTTAAAGGCAACCACACAGAAGTTCTGTAAACTGTTAATTTTGGTAAGCTTCAGTGAGTTACTCATACAGGATCTTGACCCTTCAGTGAATTGCCTATTTGGTGACTTGGTCATTTGATGGCTTTGCTTCCAGCAATTGACTAGAAGCCAAATCTATAACATCCAACCCCCAGCAAAAGAGGGAGGGGTGGGCCAGGGATTTAGCTCAGTGTTTCCACCGCCTGCAAGCGCAAGGTCCTGAGTTCGATCCCAGGTACCAAAAAAGAGAAAGAAGTAGGGGCTTTACAAACAAAAGGATCACCATAAAACATCCCCCAGGGAGCTCTATGCTCCAATGGGAGGATTCAGGTGGAGGGCAGGGCCAGGAAGAAATCCAGCTTTTCTCCTAACTTGTCTGTAGACACATCATTCTGGAACGTCCCTCCCACTGGTCTCCTCTAGTTCCTTTTCTTCCCTTCCTTTCCTATAAGAGGAAGAATAACAGAGCCAGGATGTAGCTCAGTGGCGCTGCACCAGGAAAAGAGGGCCGCTGGGGATGTATGTAGCTCAGTGGTACCGCGCCTGCCTTGGGGGTGGGGGATAAAATGGGCAGAATAGGTGGGAAGAGAAAGGGGTATGGTCAAGTTTGGAGTCTGGGTGATGAATAAGAACCATTGCAGGTCCCTTTTGTGGACTCCCGACCTTTAAGGCACCCTGATACCTGAGTGAAGAGATTCTTGTTTCAAATACTAGCGGTGGTAGCTGACGAAGCCTCGGGTCTCTCAGCAGCCTTTCTCCAAGATTGCCACATAGAATGTTTACAAATGCTGCCAGGACAACAGCAATTTCAACCAATGGGAAACAAAGCCCACATGTTCTTAGCTGCTTCTGTTAATAGAAGAGGAAAAAAGGAGAGAGGGAGGGGAGGAGGAGGGGGAGGGGAGTCACAGCAACCGGCTGACCTCAGTAACGGGACTAAGCTGTGGAACTAAGCTTCTTCACAGCAGGAGATGGGCTCAAGGGGCTGTGCCAGGATGACTAGCATGGCGGTGTGCATTGGGCATTATGATGCTGTGCCAGTCACTGTATTAAGCCTTTAGGGTGCGCTAAGCCATTTACTCCTCACAATAGCACTGTGAGGTAGGAATCACTATTCTCACGTTACAGTTGAACAAACTAAGGCACAGAGAGTGTTAAATAAATTGCCTCAAACTCAAACCCAGAGCTGTCTGACTTTGTTGAATGAGCTTTTTACTTTTCATTTCCAGGATTTGAAGTAGGACCCTTCTTGGGTGCTTGACTATTCTCAGGGTGTCCTTTGTGAATCAAGGATGAGAGCAATATATACTAGAGTGGTTATCATCAGACTCAGGAAAGTTTTACTTAACACTTCTTTTTCAGTTTTCTCATCTATAAAACGGGGATGATGATGAACCCTAAAGAACAGAGCTTTGGGGTTTGTTTTTTGTTGACGCACTGTGGATTGAACCAGGGTGGCAAATATGCTAGGCAAGTGCTGAGCCATGAGCTTTTGCCCTCAGTCCTAGAACAGGATGTTTTTTACTTGTTTCTTTTTGTGGTACTGGGGATTGAACCCAAGGCCTTGACACTTTTTTTTTTTTTTTTTTGAGATGCTAAGTCACTAAATTGCCCAGGCTGGCCTCAAACTTGTGATCTTCCTCCCTTGGCCTCCCAGAGTGATAGGGTTATGCTCAGCTTAGAAAAGGATTTTTTAAAAATGAAGATTTAGTCATATAATTCATGTGAAGACTGAGTTCATGGCTGAACTCTCTGTATAATGGTTAAATATTATTCCTGGTATCATTATTGAAGTTATTTATTTATTTTGGTACCAGGAATTGGAACTCAGGATATTGCACTTGCAAGGAAGGCATAGCACCACTGAGCTAAATCCCCAGACCATCAATGGTTTTAACTGGTGAAATGAAAAGTTGATCAGTGTACGTATTAGTCCATGAAATCCCCAAGTCTCTTAGAACCCCTACCCTGAACCCTGCTGTGTGTATGGCACAGTGACTTACTGTGAGACAATTGATCTCAATCCCAGCAAAAGAACAGAAATGCTCCAAGTGTCCTCTCTCTCCACAAGAACTGTGGAGCCCACTTCTTGGAAGATACCTGGCACCATGTACAGAGCTGGCCCAGCTGAGATGTGGCCTCCAGGGTGGTGAGTGGGAGGTGGCAAGGGGACAGTGTGGGAGACTGTGTAGCTACACAGGAAGAACACAGACTCGGAACACAGGCAATGCAGGCACTACGGGCAGAGGGACTCAAATCCCAGCTCTGCCCCATGCTGGCTCCGTGAATTCAAGCAGGACCCCCACCCTGAGTCTCTGTGTACACTGGGGATTTTTTTTTTTTTTTACAATGGGGATCTTAATTCATGGGTTTTTTTGTTTTGTTTTGCTTTATTTTTTATTGTCTGTTTTTTGAGACAGGGTCTCACTATGTAGTTGAGACTGACCTGGAACTTATTATGTAGCCCAGGCTGGTCTCCAACTCACAGCGATCCTCCTGCCTCAGCCTCCAGTGCTGGGATTACAGGTGTACGCCACCACGCCCGGCTAATTCATGGGGTTAAATAAGGAGACAAGATGAGGCGATTCATGCAGAGCACTCAGAACAGGATAGGCATATTGTACATGCTCAACAAACATTAGTTACCTGATTGTGAGGAGGAGGAGACCACAGCAGAATCAAACATCAAAGGAGCTTGCCACTGCCTGAGGCTGGGAGCTTGTGTTCTGAGCTCTCCTTAGGGTCAATGCCCAGCAGCCAGGCCAGGAGGATTCACAGGGACACTGTCCTCAGCAAGCACACAAGCCCCAGGGCAACAGGTACTAAACAGGATGCCAGGTTTTGGTTCAGCTCATGGGCCAGATGTCTATAAAGCCCCTAATACCGTGGGTGGGGAACCTTCCAGCACCACACCCTCCTCCTAGGTTGCGGGGGGTTGGGTTTTCCCTGGACAGGACCTTGAAACACCAGGCACTACAATAGCACATTCAAAACAGGCAGAGCTCTGGCTCCCTTTGTGTCAAGCTTGATGGGCAACAAAGAAGTGAAAGCCCTGCAGCCACTGAGGGGGGCATGGTTAGGATATGGTGTGGGTAGCAGGGAGTGGGGTTCTTAATTAACCGGAAGACAACATACAGGCAAGCAACAAGAAACTACCGCTAAGGCAAAATGCTTTTTCCAGTGGGAGGTGGGAGGTGGGGATGGAGCCAGGAAAGATTTCCCAGCAGATTAAAAAGGCTCCTTCTTTGAAGCAGGGACGTCAACTGTGTAGCTGGAACGTGACCTCCTACAGCCAGCTGAGAGGCAGGTGGCCTCCGGGGCTTTCTAGATCAGAGCTCACTGAGGATAGGTTTGGCATTCGCTAGCAAAGGTGAGCCTAAAGAGGTTTGGAAGCGCCAGATGGAAGTCGAGACGGGAGGCGCCGGCAGGGCAAAGGTGGAGGAGCTAGCTGGAGCCCTGGAAGTTCAGCCCCTTTCTTGGCCGATTGGGAGGTCCCAAGCCCCCACATGGCCACCACCGCTGCCACACTGTGAACCTTTTGAAGCATCAGGGTATCCAGTCTCCCAGAACCCTAGGCCCCTGTTCCTGGCCTGGGCCATGCTGGGGATATGCAGCCCGCTGCCTCGGGGTCCAGCAATGAAATGATTGACCTGAGTCATTTGCCTGAAGGCACGAGGAGCCTTCCGTCTTTCCTTAGGCTTTCACATTCACCCTACCAATCTCTTCCCCCATCTTTTTGCTCCTTCCCCTACCCCCTCCTCTTCCGTTCTCTCCTGCATCCTCCTAGTAAGGCTGATGGCTCTCAGCAGAGAAGCCAGATCAAACACTGACATTCTCTTCTTGTCCAGTGAGCCCCCACCAGCCAATACACACATGGTACATATCTGTAAAGTGTGCAGCAACGGGGATGATGGAGCTGCAAAGCTGCCTGAGTCAGTTTCCACTCTCTGTGACTACAGATAAAGTGTGCACACATGAAAAGATAGCGAGCCAAGGAGGGGACAGTGAAATGCTTCCTGACTCAAAACACAATGCTTGTTGGATTTGGGTAGGATCTAAACAAGTGATGCTGAGTGATGTCACTTCAAGTCTAAAAGGCCACCAGACTGCCCTGGGAAGGAAAGGGAGGTGGAAGGAGGCCAGGGCCGTTCCCAAGCACATATTCTACAGACCAGATACCGTGCTGGCCAGGCCCAGCTGGGTGGATCCCCAAGAGTCATGACAGCACAGAGACCTCTTGGAATAAGCCAGCCATCCTGAAGCATGAGTGTCTCACTGCACAGGGCCTTGCTCAGAGCAAAAGTGCTATGGCAAGCTGGGCATGGTGGTGCAAACCCATATTCCCACCATTCTGGGAGGCTGAGGCAGGGGATGACAAGTTCAAGCCTCTCCTGGGCAATTTAGACTTAGTGAGACCCTGTGTCAAAATTTTAAAAAATGTTTAAGAAAGGGTCAGGGATACAGCTCAGTGCACTATCTGTGGGTTCAGTCCCTAGTAGGGTTGGGGATACTGTGACACCATCCTTTCTCTTATACATGTGGGCCAGGAACTCCTGAGTTGCTCCCAACCCCATCTTACCAACTCCACCCCACTTATAAAATTCTTAGAGGTGAAAGTCGGTTTCTAGTCGAAGGCAGGTAGCACACAGGAGGGAAGGCACAGCATACCAAAGAAACTGATGCACTTGGAAAATTCTTCTGCTTTCTTGGGGGCAGTGATGTTCAATGCTTCCAACGTCTTCTTTAGCTTCTTTCTGTTGCCTTTGTGATTATATTTCTTTGGGGTCATAATCAAAATAGCATACTTGTTTGTAAACTTTATTAGGTGGTCACTCACTGGCCCAAATATAATGGTTTCTTCAGTTTTCTGGAATGAGGAAGGCATCTAATAAGAAACAAAGCAAAAGATGGTACAAAATGGTTCAGACTAAAAAAGAAACATTTTTATACAAGTTACACCTGCTAGCCCATTTTCTTTTCTTTTTTTTCATTAAGTTTATTGGTACATTTTAGGTATACAGTATAATGACATTAATCAGAAATGTGTACCTTTACATAATCTATCTTGGTTCTTATTTTTCCCCATTCCTTCGCCCTCCCTTCAACCCCTCCACCCCTCCCTATTTACAAAGACTGTTTCCATTTTTCCTTTTCTCATATTAATTCCTTTCCCTTCTTTCCTTTTCCCTACCCCTCCCACTTCCCCTTCCCCTTTTGACCTTTTCTTCCTATTTCACATTATCTATTATACATTTTGGCTGGCCCATTTTCTTAATGATGCCCTCAAAAAAAAAAGTACATCTATTTTTTTTTTTGAGACAGGGTCTTGCTATGCAGTTCAGGCTGTCCTTGAACTCACTATGTAGCTAGCCCAGGTTGACCTTGAACTTGCAGTGATCCACCTGCCTCAGCTTCCCAGCTGCTAAGATTACAGGCCTGAACCACCACACATGACAGTATGTCTCTAATCTTGAATCAAGATTTATGCAAATTCCAAAAGCAATTATTTGGATCTTCATTACAGAAGAGTCTTTGGGATGGAGGAAGGCATATTACAACCAATAGCATGAGACACGGAGGGTACACAAATACATCAAAGAAATCCTTAACCATTAAAGGTTATGCAGGGTTAGGGGTGTTCCTCAGTGTTAGAGTGCTTGCCTAGGATGTGCATGTCGTGAGTTCCATCTTGACTACCACAAAAAGAAAAAAAAGATGCAAACACAGCATGGGATCTATTCTGTACAGGAATTTCCATTGACCTTTTATCAAAAATGCCTCACAGCTCAGTGTGATGACACACAGCTATAATCCCAGCTACTCAGTGTCAGGAGCAATTTTACATAATTTGGGGGGGGATCATTTCACAATTAAATCATGATTAGGGACTAGTTCTCCTGCCTACAGGCCAGCTACGGCATGCTGAGACATAACTCCATCTTCACCTCTAGTCACAGCTAAAACCTCAGTGTTCCAGTGATGATGTGATGCTCCAGGACAATATTTCACCAGCTGAAGATATCTGGGAGGAACAAAGTCTTCCTCTGCATAGTTCCTCATTGTTCTAGGATTTTCGCTGCGCTGCTGCTACTGCCCTTTGAGTCACTTTTTATATTTGTTACGCTCCCAAAGTACTGAACTCTCTCTGCTCTGAGTCATCTGTTATATCTGTTTCTGCTGATGTCGGAATAAAGGTGTGGCAAGCTCAGAGGCTTTCATCTTTGTTGACCAGGCCCAAAGCTCAGCTTCTTCTCTAAGTCTCATTTCTTCTACCTTTTCTGTCTCTATATTAATTCACATTGTGCTGTCATGGGTCACAGGAGACTAGGACTTTCTGCAGAGGTTCTAATAATGTCCCCTTTCCCTGTTCTGTACAACTCAGGAGGCTGAGGAGTGGGGGGGGTCACAAGTTTGAGGCCATCCTGAGTAACTCAGTAAGACCTTGTCTCAAAATTTTAAAAAAATGTAAAGGGCTGGGATGTAGCACTGCCTTAGCACACATGAGGCTCTACATGTCCCCATCCCCAGCACTGAAAAAAAATCAAAATATAAAATATAAAAGTTATAAGAATATTCTCATTCCCAGTGTGCTGTGAGTCACAAAGTTCTGTTCGTTTCCCTTGGAAAGCAAAGGAAGAGTATGTCCCAAAGAATATTCCATAGTATGTAAACATCAGAGATGAAATTGTTCTGGAGGGTGTATGGGGGTGAGGGTAGCCTCACGTAGACACACACATATCCAGACCAATAAGCTAAATATCCTTCTATTTGGATGCAATTTTGATGCAATCCACAATTTGCTTCTACATACTAGGTATAGTCAAAAGCCTATAATTGTTCTACGAGTCTTCTTTCTCATAAAAGTGCAGTAGAATAATTTGATTTATTAGTTCCCCAAAATACCTGAATGATTTGGAGTCTCAAAAACCAAGGGATGTTTCACTGTCACCTCCATCCCCTTACCCTCATCTAAAAGCTTCCTGGTGAGGATGGCTGCCTTCAAACCCATCCTCACTTTTTCCCTTACAACAGATCAAGTAGCAAGAGCTGAGAAGGAAAACCAGGCATTAAAACCAATGGCATTAAAATACAGTGTGTGTGTGTGTGTGTGTGTGTGTGTGTGTGTGTGTGTGTTTGTGTGTGTGTATGATCTCACTATGTAGCCCAGGCTGGCTCCATTATTTACAGTGATCCTCCAGCCTCAATCTTCCGAGTGCTGGGATTACAGGTATGCACCAGCATGCCCAGCTTAAACCACATTTTTTTAAAAAATCTTGCTTTCCAAAAGTGCCTTCAGGATAGTCTTTCCATTAAAGTTCCTACTGTCGGGCTGGGGATTTAGCTCAGTGGTTCTGCCACCTGCCTCGCAAGCCCAAGGTACCAAAAAAAAAAAAACAAAGTTCCTCCTGTCTATTATCTTTATAGCAATGAGATTCCCTAGCTGTGTCAGTACTAACAGTGAACCAGAGACCAGGCCTCAGGGTCCTGCCAACACCACATTTGTGTGAGTGCCTCCGGGGGAGTTGGGTGGGCTGGAGAACTGTTATGGGAGTGCTCACCATCAATGATCCCCTCCCTCTTCATGGGGCTGTACGCTTAAACTCCATTGCATGCATAAATTCATGAACTTGCCCCAGATACCCACTGCCCTCATTCGAGAGATGGGAGAACTGAGTCTCAGATCAGTGGCATGACCTGCTGAGGGTCACACAAGGCATAGGTGGTAGGGCCTCCTGAGGTGAAGCTGCTCGCAGCGCTGTCTCCACATCTGGGAGAAAGAAGCTATTGGAAACTTTGTCATGGGGGGAAGAGGGGCAGGTGACCATTACAGGATGTTTAGAAGCATCACCTCTGGCTTGCACCCGCTAATGTCAGCAACCCCTCCTTGTTGTGACAAGGCAGAATGCTTTTTGAGCCCTGATGGGCAAAATGGTCCTGTTGAGAAGCACTGCTTTAAGTCTCCCCTATGTGGAGCAGCCAAGTAGATGTGCAACTCACCACACCACTGGCCTGCATCCTACTGTGCAGAGGGAGACCAGGCCTTTCCTGTTGACGGCCCTGCCAACCTCCTGGTTCTCCTTTTCTCCATGCTTTGTACTCTCCGCTCTACTTCTGCAGCCATGTTAGTTCCTGTTCCCACCTTCATGCTGTTTCCTAGGCTAGGAATGTCCACCTCCAATTGTTTGTGCTCTAAACCTCATCCAGCCATCAAAGCTTAGCTCAGTGTAGATGTCATCTGGAAGCTAATCCTAAGCCTTTCCCATCCCTTTATCCCAAGGCTAGGCCAAGCCCCGCCTCTGTGCCCCCTCAGCACTTACCCTTCACATAACTGTGTCAATCCTATGACTGAGCTTAGAGAGCAGGGCCGTGTCATTCAAATCTGAGGCACAATGCCCAGCATGTAGCATTTACTCAATCAGTGGGGTATTCATTTTGTGGTAACACGAATTGAAGCTGGCCTTCGCACTGAGCTACATCCCCAGCCCTTTTTAACATTTTTTTTTTTTTTTGGAGACGGGGTCTCGCTAAGTCACTAAGCTGCCCAAACTGGGCTTGAATTTGTGATCCTCCTGCCTCAGCCTCCTAGAGTGCCAAGATTACAGGTGCATGTTGCCACACCTGGCTTTGAGCCAGGGTTTGTTTGTTTTTGCAGAACCAGAGATCAAACTCAGTACCTTGCTCTTGCCAGGCAGTAGTGGCACCAAGCTACAACCCCAGCCCTAAACCAGGGTTGATTAAAGTCAACCTCAGAGAACAGTTAAAAAAAGTATAGCCATTTTTAAGTCAAAATACCAGAATTCTAGCTGCAATTTTGTCACTAAATGATTGCTTGCCCATCCCTGAACCTTTGTTTCATCAAAGGAATCAGAATTTTAAATGTGTAAGGGTCTTTGTAAATTTTTTGGTTTAAATTGTTTTTCACAAATATGTCATTTAAAATGTTTCCCAAAAGGCTGGGGATTTAACTCAGTGGTTCTGTCACCTGCCTTGCAAGCAAAGATTCCCGAGTTTGCTTCCTGATAGCAAAATAAATAAATAAATGGTGCTCTTAAAATGTTTTCCAAAGAGCAATGCCATTCTCTTCCTTTCCCTTCTGAATATGCCTGGTTTCTCTTTTTTCAGTCTTTTCCTGTTGACTATTTCATTTGACCCTAGAAATAACTCTTGGCAGCCTAGCAGACATAGCTTCAAACAAGAACCATTCTTCCAAAGTGGCATAAAGGTAAACAGTGAATCAGATGCTATCATTGTATAACAAATGGAAAATAGAAGAAATTGGTATTTCTATGTGCATAAAGACACACTGTGGGCTACAGTGGAATGAGCGCTGCACCAGATTAAAACATGTCTTTTCTGGGCTGGGAAATTAGCTCAGTGGCACTGTGCCTGCCTTGAAAGTGCAAGGTCCTGAGTTCGAACTCTGGAATAGGAGAGGGGTTGTCTTTTCACCACATACCTTATGTTGTTGGGTTTTGAGCTATGTGAATATGGCACCTACTTTAAAAGCTAAGCATAGTTAATAAAACCAATCAGATGGAATCATTTCTCATGCAGCATTTCAACAGGCCAGAACAGCAGGTCACAGATGGATCCAATGTCACTGTTCAGACCACATCTATCAAAATGGCTGTAAGAAAACCTTCCTAACTGTACTTGAATCAAGTGAAATCTAATCATCTAGTCTCCCATGTTTTGATCTCGTTTGCTCCCTGGCAGCAGAATTTACAAATAAAGCTCAATTTCACAGGAGATGCTTCAAAAAAGAGAACATGGATCCTAACACTGTCTGACCACATGATCACTCCACTTGTCATTTTGTAGCCCCTTGCTAAGATGATAAATTTAGTGGATTCCCCGCCTAAAGTGGAGAAATAACAAACCTAAAAATGAGTAATTTAGTGATAGATTTGGTAATGTTAGTTTGTTGTCTATACCCACAACTCCCTATCTGTATTACCTGCTCTTTCTTTTCTGGTGATACTTATCATAAATCAACTAACCGAGGCCTGTGAGCCACTGGCCAGTCTTATATTAAATTTGTAGCCAGGCGTGGTAGCACAGGCCTGTAATTCCAGCACTCGGGAGACTGAGGCAGGAGGATCGCTGTGAGTTCGAGACCAGCCTGGGCTACATAGTGAGTTTCAGGTCAGTCTCGACTACATAGTGAGACCCTGTCTCAAAAAAATTTTTTAATTAAAAAAATATATATATATAAATTTGTAATCACAATGAGGACTTTCCTTCAAGTTACTGCTGTATTTTCACAGGGTAGCAGTCTAGATGTACTCTAAATATGAACGCCACCTCCTTCTTTCTTCTGTAAACCCTGCCTTGTAAAATGAGGTTAGTAGAAATCGTATGTGGGGAACTGTTTAAGATCACCATTGGATCACACGTTAGAACGGATAAAGGTCAAGATGAACAATTTAGCAGGCTAGGGATAGAACTCAGTGGTAGAACATTTGCCTAGCAAGGGCAAGGCCCTGCATTTCAGCCCTAGAAAAAGATAATACAATTTTGGGTTCTCACCTAGGGTTCCTAGTCACCTATGGTGTTGCTATACACATAGAGTAGCATCTTTTTTTTTTTTTTTTTTTTTTTGGTGGTACTGGGAATTGAACTCATGGCTTCACACATGCAGCAGATGCTGAGCCACATCCCCAGCCCTAAGGTAGCAGCATCTTCACAGTAGACCTTCTCAGATCTCCATTAATTACCTTTAACATTAAACACATAACTCTATTTCAAATGATCATTTCTTTGCAAACCTAGGGATTAAACCCAGGACACTGCCCTACCAATGAGCTACATCCCAGCCATTTTGTTTTGAGACAGGCCTAAACTGGCTTCAAACTTTCATTCTGCCTCAGCCTCCTGAGTAAGTGGGATTAGAAGCATGGGCTACTAAACCTGACAGTGCTCTTATTTTAATAAACCAAATGTTTATGGGGACGTACTCTGTGCGTCCTTGCCTGGCAAGCTCAAGGCCCCGAGTTTGATTTCCAAATGATTGCTGATGCTGTTCTATCCTAAAACAAAAATCAATGCTTAAGCATTGTATTAGACACCACACAGAATACATGAAAATTGAAAATGTAATCTCCATATTGTGTCCTCACTGGAATTTTTGTTGACATACGGGGGGACAGAACACAGGGCCTTGTATATGCTAGGCAGTACTGTACTGTACTGTCCTCAGCACCCTAGCTGGGACCCTCCCAGAAAAGGAATTGGGAAAAACACTTTTTTCTGTACTTTCCTAGCAACCTCTGAAGACATTTTAGGTAGTCTCTTTTTTTACCTTTTTATTTTTTTACTATATTTCTGTGATTATATAATTATCTTGATCAATTTTTATTCCTTTCCCTATTCTCCCCTCTCCCCCCTTTACCAGATCCCCTTCCCTATCTGCAAGTGTTCCCTATCATCTTTCCTTTGGCTTAATACTTAGTGTATGTGCTACTGAAGTGAGGCTCTTTGCTTTGCAATTTAAATTATTTATATTTTGGGTTTCTCATGTAAAAGAAACCCTGCAACTTTTAACCTTCTGTGTCTGATTTATTTCACTTAACATACAGCCTCAGGATCCATCCATTTTCCAACAATGGTGATTATAATACAGATAATGAAGGAGCAGGCATGTAAATGGGCACTTGGTATATATTATGCCTATAATTTCACAAGTTTTGGTTGCCTTCCAGTTTTTAAGAAATAAAGCTACATTATAGATTGCTTGATCTTGTATATTTTAAAGAAAGAAAAGCCTTTTGCTTTTTCATTTTGTTTTTATTAAGCATTACCTAACACAGTAAACTGCACACTACATAATACACTGCTTAAACTTCCAGCAGGGTTAGATGACCACAACAGAGTCATTTTTCATCAGGAAAATGCTCCCTTAATCAATGTTCTCCAAACCCTGAAAAAGAGTTTAGAAAAGAGGATGTAAGGATTCTGTTCCCATCAAAGATGTACCCATACTTTATTCCCAGCATCACAGAACAGTACTCTCTGGTATTAAAACAAATGTTTTCATATCTCACATTTCTCTAACTGCAACAATACAGAAATGAATTGCACTGCATTTTATAATCACTAAAGAAAAACTTGTAATGATTTCTACTTCTCATTTTCTGATTGCAGCTAACATACTAATTTACATGAAAAGACCATTCCACAATTGCTATCAGAACTCAAATCAAACAACTATTTACCTGGTTCCTTATACAAAGGACTCTCCCTGAGTCAGAGGACAAGAAGATAAAATCTGTCATAAAATAACAGCCAACATGCAGTACATACTGTTATCCTCATTCCACTTTTCTTTAAATGAGGAAATGCTGAGGTTACAAATCACTGGCTTAAGTCTGTAAGGAAGTAGCAGAGCTAGATCCCAAATACAGAACCCTTCCCCTGTAAGCACTATGCTATTTTTGCAAAAGGTCTACTTATCTTACTCAGTTCACATGCAAATGCTTCAGTACCTATAAATTTAAAAATTAATCAGGGATGACATTTCTTCCAGATAGTGAAATAAGCAGTTCAGGTATTTTGTTTACAACTTCAAGAAGAATTGCCTTGAGAGATTAAAATTGATTATTTCTAGGAACTACATCTTAGAAATCCAAATTTTATTTCACATGCCAGGTGATTTTGATGGTCATTTTGATGGTCATTCTTGGACTATACTTTGAGAAACATGGCTCCAGATGAGGAGACACAGGTGTCCCCATTATCTCTAGAGATATGTTCCCAAACCCCTTGCAGATGCCTGAAACCACAAATAGTACTGAGCCCTTTATCTATATTTTCCTATACACATTCCTATGATAAAGTATAATTTATAAATTAGACACAGTAAGAGGTTAATAATAATAAAAAAGAACAATGGTAATACACAAGTTATTTAATGCTTAAAAATTATTTTTGGCCAGGGATTTAGCTCAGTGTCACAGCGCTTGCCTGGCAAGTGCAAGGTCCTGAGTTTGATCCCCATACCAAAAAAAAAAATTATTTCTGGAGTTGTCCATGTAATATTTTCACAGTTGAGAGTGGGTAACTGAAACTGTGGAAAGCAAAATCAGATAAGGGGAAAACTACTACATCTATGCTCATGTTCATTAAATTTGATTCTCAAATAGCTATATACTGAGAGGCAGATCACTTAGGTTGTTTTTATAGTATTTAATCATTCTGACCATCTATTTTCTCATCTATAAAGTACAAATATTGATCTAGGTTCACTGTGAAAATAAAATGAGCACAGAGTAAATATTAAAATGCAACTAAAATGGCCAGGTGTGGTGGCACACACCTGTAATCCCTTGGGAGGCTGAGGCAGGAGGATCCCTGTGAATTTGAGACCACCCTGGGCTACATAGTAAGTTCCAGGTCAGTCTCAACTACATAGTGAGACCCTGTCTCAAAAAAACAAACAAAAAAGTAACTAAAATGTTTAAAACAATTATAAGGATAAAGTACTACTACAAGGTATAAAATCATACTTTTAAATTGAGCCACATGATACTGCTACTTAAGCCAGTTATGGTGGCACACACCTGTAGTCCCAGCACTCAGGAGGCTGAGGCAGGATGATCTCAGAGAATTACTTCAAAGCCAGCCTGAACTACTTGTCTATTTTTTTTTTTTTTTGGTACCAGGGATCGAACTTGGGTCCTTGTGCTTGCGAGGCAGGCAGTGGAACCACTGAGCTAAATCCCTGGCCCAACTAGTCTATTTTTTACCTACGAATTCAGCAATTTCATAATTCAGTCAAATATAAAACTATACCAATTCCTTAAATAAGGTATAGGTGCAACAACTGGCAGACAAGTGGATTATAGAAGAGCAAATTCATGAAACAGACCCAAATACGTATGGAAATTTAGTTTACTAGAATGACATTACAAATAAAAATGGACTGTTCTATAAACTGACAATTATGACAACAGGCTGCCTCCTGAAAAAAAGTAAAGTTAAATCCTCTCTTCATATTATACCTCAAAATGACCGTAGATAAACCAAAGAACTAAATTTTTAAAAAATAAGCTACTAATAGTATATTTGAATAGTAAATATTTTATAACTTTGGGTTTTAAAAAACCCTTGTAAAGAATATATAAAACCCTGGCCAGGGATGTAGCTCAGTGGCACCCTGCCTGCCTCACAAGCACAAAGTCCTGAGTTCAATCCCTGATACCAAAAAAGAAAAAAGAAAAAGAAAACATTAAACCCAGAATCTAGAATGGTAATATATGATAAATTGAACATCAAAATTTAAAACTACCCTGTCTCAAAAACAAAAAACCCAAAACAAAACAAAAATGACTATCTAATGAAAAATAGCAAAGTGACAAAGAGAGCAGCCAGTAAAAGCATTTGTCATACATAAACTTTTCTAAAAATTAAAATCCAGAATATATTAGGAACTACTATAAATGAAAAAGAAAATGACAAACAACAGAATTGGGCTGGGCATGGTGGCACACGCCTGTAATCCCAGCACTCAGGAGGCTGAGGCAGGAGGATCGCTGAGACCAGCCTGGACTACATAGTGAGTTTCAGGTCAGTTTCAACTA